GGGAATAAGGATATCCTGGAAGCCAGAGGCATAGATGGATGCCTTCTATCAGCGAGTCAAAATAACCCTCAACCTCAAGTTCTATGCCCGCCGAGCTATCAACAAGTGTGAGAGGAGAACTAACTGTTTTGAAACGTACACACTTTTCTCAGGAAGCTATTGGAGGCTCTGCTGCAGCACGAGAGAGCAAAGCATCCAAAAGGAAGACATGGAATCTAAGAAACTGGATTCGACACAGGGAGAAGCTAACGGGAATCCCCAAGACAACGGCTCAGAGAGAATCTCAATGTCAGCTGTGCACAGGCCCAGGAGCAGCTGGTCTAGATGAGAGGTTCAGCAGTCTCCAAGACAAAATGATCCCCAAGGCTGGACTCTGGAAATGCCACTGTGAGGCTTTTATGAAACTTATGAAATACTTAGTCCGATAAATGAAGATTTAAAAAAGCAAACCCCAAATACTAAGCCAATGACAAAATGAGGCAATTATTAACTCTGGGCTGAACAGGACATAATATTTACACTGCATTAAGAGAGGGAACACTGAATATGCATTTAATGGAAAATAGGGAGAAGGAACGAGGGCATTAAGAAGCTTAAAATTCTCATCTTCCACAATCAGAATTCAGCAGATAATGGGTAAAATTGGGGAATCAAGATACAGAGAAATAAACACGGGATTAGCAAGATGGAGGTAAATGAAAGGATAAATCACTAGGAGGGTGGAGGGTGGGGTAACCTCCAAGCTGGGGGCAGGGCTCAGGGGGACTGCTATGTGTTATAAACCTTTTTTTTTGTCTTGAGACAGGGTCTCACTCTGTCATCCAGGCTGGAGTGCAGTGGCACGAACATGGCTCACAGCAGCCTCGAACTCCTGGGCTCAAGTGATCCTCCCATCTCAACTTGCTGAGTAGCTAGGACTACAGGCACTCACCACCTACTAATTCTTTTAATATTTTGTAGCGATAGAGGGCCTTGCTATGTTGCTCAGGCTGGTCTCGGACTGGAGGCCTCAAGCAATCCTCTCATCTCAGCCTCCCAAAAGTGCTGGGATTATAGGTGTGAGGCACTGCGCCTGGTATATTATAAACCTTTTTCTAGCACTGCAGTGGTCCTCCCTGATCCACAATTTCACTTTCTGAGGTTTTCATCTACCTGCCAACCGTGGTCCAAAAATATTAAGCTATTTTGAGAGAGAGAGAAAGACTTCACTTAACTTTTATGAAGTGTGCTGTTGTAATTGTTCTATTTGATAATTAGCTATTGCTATGAATCTCTTACTATGCCTGATTGATAAATTAGACATTTTCATAGGTACACTGAATTAGACATTTCATAGGTACAATATGTACCATATAGGGACAATCATATTATAGTGTACATATACCCTATCCAGGGTCTCAGGCATCCACTGGGGGTCTTGAAATGTATTCTCCAAGAATAAGTGGAAACTGCTGTGTTGTTTTTTCATTTGCATTTTATTTTTCATTTCAATAGCTCTAGAGGATAGAAATAGTTTTTGGTTACATGGATGCATTTTCCTCCCACTACCCTTTCCCACCCTCATACTATATTGATTTTAAAAATTTACTTTCAAGCAGTACTTAAAAAAAAAATACAGACAGTGTCTTACTACATTGCCCAGGTTGGTCTTGAATTCTGGCCTCAAGCAATCTCCCCTGCCTTGGCCTCTCAAAGTGCTAGGATTACAGGTGTGAGCCACCATACCTAGTCACTTGCAAACAGTACTTTGATAAAATAAAAGCAAATTAAAAACACTTGCATTACCGATTTAAAAAGGAAGCCCACAAGAGGCAGCGTCAGAGAATGGAAGGACTTTAGAGAAGGTTGCCCAGAGCAGGCAATGCCTAATCCTGCTACAGGAGAAGAGAGGAATTGGGAGCAGTCTATGCAAAGGGCCAGGGGCACGTGTGAGAGTTAGACCGAGGATATGCTGCTTTAGGATGAGAGTAGGACTGAGTAGGGGAGAGGCAGGCAGAGGCAGGCTGCACAGGGCCCTTAGGCTACGGAAGGGGCTGTGGGCTTTATTTGACAAGCAACAGGTGGCCATAGGAGGGTCTCACAGAGGCAAGCAGGGCGGCTTACATCGGTAACAGACTCAGTCTCCGTGCTGAGTAGGGGGCGAGGGCGGAAGCAGGGGACCAATGGGGACAGTGGTGGGGGAGGAGAAAGCTTTTCCTCTACTCTCTTAGGGTCTCTGGCTGGTCTCAGAATTAAGCGGACAAGGTAGATTAACAGGGGAAAAGTGTGAGATTCTTATCTACATGTACATGGGAGTACACACACACACACACACACACACACACACACACACACACACACACACTGGGCAGGCGCCACAGAAGTGACTAGGCCTATGTACTCAGATACTAGGTTGAACAAAGAATGGCTATTGTGTAACTAGGAAGATAAGGGGCAGCTTAAAAGGTTTGTTCGTGGAGACTTCTTTGGCCTCGACTCCCCGTCTCTGGTAATAAGACTGTCTTTCTTCCCCTGGCATAGAGAGGGCATCTTTCCTGTGGGCATTTTATCTTCTGCTCTCAGGAAGAAAAGGGAGGTCAGCACGCCCTTCCTGCACCTGCTGTTTTTGAAGTGCCTCTAGTTAAAAAAACTCAATGTACCAAAGCGGCATATTTTGGGGTGACGTGTTCTGAGCTTCTCAGTAGCCTGGCCCAGCATAGAGCCTGTGTGGACAGAGGACAGGCTGGAGAGAAGACCTCTAGGAAGGAGCAGGAAGGCGTGGTGCCCGGAGAGGAGGGTGAGGGCCACAGGCAGGGGGACTAATGAGTATTTCCTCTCTGAAACTTCCCAAGAAGCCTTGGGGGTGGGCAGTGAGGTGGGCACTGTCTGCTCAAGAAGGAAACTGTCGGACGGGCTTGGTGGTTCAGCCTGTAATCCCAGTGCTTTGGGAGACCAAGGTGAGTGGATTGCCTGAGCCCACGGGGTTCAAGACCCGCCCGGGCAACTTGGTGAGACCTCGTCTCTACAATAAATCAAAAATTAGCTGGGTGTGGTAGCGCGCGCCTAGTTCTGGCTATTTGGAAGGCTGAGGCAGAAGGATCGCCGGAGCCCAGCAGGTCGAGGCTGCGGTGGCCGGGAGCATGCCAGGGCACTCCAGCCTGGGCGATGGAGTGAGACTCCAACTCAAAAAAAAAAAAAAGAAGGAAACTGTGTTTGATGGGAGTTTCGGTGACTCCCCTACCCCATCTCCCCGCCCCTGCCCCTCTGAGGACAGTCTCCCAGGACCTCCTCAGAGCCCACCGACACCCCATGAGCTTGCACGGGCTGGAGACAGACTTGAAGTGAAGGCATGCCCGGGACCCATAGCGAGTGAGGGATGGCATTAAGAGGCCAGGTGATCTCCAGATGGAAGCAAGTGTGACCCCAGCCCTACTGTGCACGGCTACAGCTGGACTGGCACCGCTGAAAGAATCCACTTCCCAGTTCTCCGAGGGCCTACTATGTGCAGGCCTGGGTACCCCGTGGCAAGGTGGGTCTAGTCCCATCCTAAGGAATGACCCACTATGGAAAGAAGCCTTGTTGGTGTCTGGCAGACAGTAGGTGCTCAACAAAGACTCAGTTCCTTTTCCCTCTCTCTCTGACTGCTCTGCCCTTGTCCTCCTGAGGCGAGGATCAGCACAGAGTATCTTAAATCCTGGGTCAGCAACCGTGGCCCTCAGGCCAACTCCAACCCAGCACCTGTTTCTGTATAGCCTTTGCGCTAAGGATATTTTTTACAGAGGACCATTCGCCATCAATGGGATAACAGGTAACACTAACTTTGAACTCCAATTAAGCAAGGGCTGATCCCGCACGAGAACTCTATTCTTCTCATTAGTAGACCTGTATTACAAAACATTGCCCCCAATGATTAAATTATCATGTTGTAAATTGTATCAACTAAAAAATAGTGGAAATGTATCTTTTCACTGCAGAAGGTCTTTGATTTTGCCTCTCGTCTCTCAAAGCCTAAAATATTTATGCTTTACCACCCTGCCCGGGGGTCTCCAGAGTCCACTGACCCCAGGACTAACCCCTCCCACCTTCCCCGTGGCCGGTGTCAGCTGGTGAACCAGACTGCAGGGCAGGACTGCAGACTCCCAGCCGTGCCCCCCCCCCCACCCCGTGCTGGCCGGCCCCACACCCAGCCTTGCCTCAGGACACGGCTGTCGCCCCGGGGAAGGACGTGTGCCTGCCGCAGTGGCCTGGGGACGCTCGGGCCACTGGCTGGCGGTCCCAGCTCTCCGAAGACCACAGTCTTCCAACTCCCGGTGGGATCCAAGGCCGGCCGCCAGCGTGGGTGGCTGAAATCTCCCCGGTAACAGGGTCTGCCCCCTCCTGCTCCCTCTCCCGGCCTCCTCCCCTAACCTGCGCGCCCCCCCACCTCCGCACCTGCTCTCCGGCCCTGGCCCTCCCCCTCCTTCGCGGCTGGCTCCGTGTCACCATCTGTGGCACAGTCCCTCTGTCACTCTCCCTGCCACCCCCTCATCCTCCGTGTCCTCCCTGCTCACTCCCCTGCCTCTCTCCCTCTGTCTCTCTTTCCTCCTCCTTGCCTTCTCCTGTCAGCCTCTCGCATCACTCCCCCTCACTCTGCCTTCCCGCCCACTCGTGGTCTCTCTCCCTCCCTCTCCCCTCTCTTTCCTTCTCTCCACCTTCTGCCGACCCCCTTTCTCCTCTGTTTCTATTGGCTTCTGGGGGGACCCTTGTTCCCCTCTTCTCAGCTTCCCCTGGGAAGCTTCTCCTTCCTCCTCCCCCCAGCCCCTGCCTGCAGACCCTCCAGCTGTGCCCCTGCCCCCCAGGATGTGTCCTGGAGATGGGGGGTGACGCACCAGGCGCCAGTGGCAAGCCAGGGCCGGAGACCAGATGGGAGAGGCTCTGTGGACAGCTGTGGCCGGGGGCCTAGCGGGGCCCCGAGCCGGCAGGCAGGCTAGAAGTGGGCGCCGTCTGCGGATGCCCGCGAGGGGTGCTCCAGGGGCACCTGGAGACTGGGCAGGCAGGGAGAGGGGGCAGCAGAATGATAACCAGCCTGGCGGCAAAGAGGGGAGCCCTCACCCCATGGGCAGGTAAGGAGGCTGGGGCCTGGAGGGTAGGGTCTTGGAGGTGGGGTGCTGGGCCCATGCTCTGCCCTGGATGAACTTGGGAGGCTGGGGCTGGGGGCTGGGGGCTGGCAGAGGGTGGGGAACCCTGAGGAGGAAGGAGGGAGGCCTTCCTGTGACCTCTCGGTGGGCTGCAGGGACCGGGGTATTAACCTCAGCATCTTGTGCCACGATTCTAGAATCTGGGACTCACACACAGCAGAATGTCAGAGCTGGAAGAAAGCAGGTGTGTCGTGCTGCCTGGCCCCCTCAGCTCACGTGGCGGCTCTCCTGAGCGCCCCTCCGTGCCGGGCCTGTGCTGGGCACATGCCCATGTAGTCTTTCCAGCAGCCTTGGGAGGTGGGTAAGCTTGTCTTCATTTCCAGAGAAGGAATCTGAGGTCCAGGGGGAGGTGTGACTTGTCCAAGGTCACACAGCAATTGGGCATCACACCCTGTGACAGAGCCCGTGCCCCACAAGCAGTGCTCGTGGGGTGTGTACCGGGGTGTGAGGGAGTCAGCTGGTGCTGCCTAGCATAAGCCGGGCCTCTCTGGGAGAGAGGCCTGGGGTGCTGAGGACAAGCAGAATGCAGAGACAGCCGGGAGCGTCAGCCTGTCTTGTCCACCACTGCCCTAGCCCGTGCTTCCTCTCGGCCCGAGGCCATTAGAGAAGCAGCATGGCTGGGAGATACAGATGGTTCAGGGGCAAACGGAACTGGGTGGGAATTCTGGCTTCCCACTCACCAGCTGGGCCACCTTGTGCAAGTTACTTAACCTCTCTGAGCCTCGACTTCCTCCCCTCTCTACAAACTCTCCCCCTAGGCTTTGTGAACAATTCACGAAGTTGGAGCCCTCTGCCCGGAAACAGGGCCCACTTTCTGCTTGTTGACCCGCCTGGTTGTTCCCATGTTTGGCTGTGCCGGGTGCTGAGGTTCAATACGTCCATCATTCAGGGCCCCTGCACTCCAGAGCCAGTGCTCTGCGGGTGGGAGACAGTCACATGGAGGGCCACAGGAGAGCCTGGCATCCCTGAGGGGCCGTTTGTAATTGCTGTGGGACCCAAGGCAGCCACATACCCTCTCTGTGCTCTGTTTCTTCCCGAACAGTCCTCAGAGGAGTCCGCCCCCAGCTTTCAGGCAAGCTGGTGCCAAAGATAAATCAGACAAGGAGGAGAAGTCCCTCCTTCCCGGGGATGAACTGGATCATGCTCAGGATTCCAGCTCCTTAAATAAGAGCCAGCCCCTAATTGCGGGTCTCGCTTACACCGTGGAGAGCTGTAATCTCCTGCTCCGGGTGCCCGGGCCCGTGCAACTTTGACAGGGAAGATGGGCCAAGATAGGGGTGGAGGCAGGGGGTCTTCCAGGGACCAGGGGTTCTGGGAGGGGCTATTTCATGTTCTGGTATGAAGGAGGGTCTGACTGGGCACGCCGTGTTCTTGCCCAGGCTGTGTGTGTGAGCATGTGTGCTTGTGCTGCAGACATGTGCTGGATGGGGGGGCCGATCTCTCCTTGGGGCATCTGTCCCTGGAGCCCAGAAATTCGGCTTGTCCAGCTCCTTGCTCCCCTGGGAGCTGGTGCGCCCTCCCTCCCCAGCCCTGGGCTGTGACTTGCCGAGCAACCGGGTGCTATAAAGGGGACCCGCACACAGCACAGGGTGGCAGGGCATGTGATGCCATGGGCCGCCAAGGAAGTGCGACTCTATGTCCCAGGTTCCAAGTTCCAGGTCTAAGGAATGGTTCTGGCATTCTGGAACTCTAACATTCTCTGGTTCAAGGACACTGGGTCTAAAAACCTATGACTCTCAGATTCCGTGACAGTTCTAAGCATTTACAATTTCTATTTTTAGACCTCCAAGAGTCTGAGGCTTTGGGCCTATGATGCTAATAGTTCGAGAACTCAAGGGGCAACGGAGGAGCTGGATGCCAGCTGGGCACTCAGGTGAGTGCCTTCTCCAGGCCTGGCCTCAGCCTGCCGGCCTGTGGAATGGGCATGGAGGTGGGGGATGGTCATTAAGGGTCCTCCCAGATTTGCCGTTCCTAGTTGGGGGACCAAGCCTCATCTTGGCTCCCCATCTGTGCAGTGAGGATGACAGAGGGCCTCCCTCACAGGACACCATACGATGCTGCACGTCACCAGCTTAGCCTGGAACCTGGCACAGTCGGGACTCAGAGAGAGGAGCTGGCAGCACTGTTAGGATCCTGCCGCCCACTATTCAGACACCCTCTCTCTTAGCGCTGCGGTCCCGGGCTCAGGAGAGTGGTAAGGGCGTGGGGAAGCAGTGTGTTGAGGACAGGTTGGGGGCGCTCTGCAGGCTCAGAGTCCTGTCTTCTCTCCCAGCTCCAGAAGCAGGGACCGGTGAGTGCCCCGAGCCTGGTCAGCCTGGGATTGGTTAGGAGGAGCCAGGGCCGAGGGGTTATCCTGCCTCGGGGCAGGACCAGCCAAGAGTGCCCAGAGGCATCGGTGTGAGGTTGGGGTGCCTCCCCTTCCCTGGAGCTTTGCATCATCTAGGGCAATGCGGCCCGCAGGCCCCACTGGAGGACTTTCAGGCCCAGCATCGGGTGAGTCAGAGGAGGGCTTCTCCCTGGAGACCTCTTTCTTCCCGCAGGGAGAATTAGAGGACAGCTGGGAGCCCAGGGTCTGGGGTCATTAGAGAGAAGGGGTGCGGAGGGAGGCCCAGGCCCCAGGGGAGGCGTCTGCTTTCCTCTGCTGGTCATCTGCCTCTGCCTGGCCTCCTCCCTCAGTGCGCGTGCGCTCTCCCCAGTGGGGCCAAGACCCTGCCGTCAGCAACCAGCCCTGTGCATGAACTGTCCACGCCAGGCCCCCCATTCATTCGATGTCCCCCCACACATGGAGGCAGGGCTTGTGCTTGTGTGAAGGAGACATGGAGACAGTGGGGGAGGGGGACAAGTCTGGGTAAGAGGGAGAAGAGAGAGACTCCACCCTGAAGGAGAGACAAGGCGAGCAGGGGCGCCCGGAACAGTCCTGGGCACACACGTGGGCGTGACCAGAAGGCACTCGCAAAGAACACAGGAGGCTGGTTCCACCATGTCATGGGGAAAGCTCCATCCAAAGCGTCCCCTCTTTCAGGCAACCTGCCCCACCGGCTGGGGGGTGGGGAGCTATTCACCTATCGCACCTGTCAGGTGAATCGTAGCTGTCTCCATCACCATCAGCCTCTGGGAGAGAAGCGGCCTCAGCCAGCCTTCCTGGACGGGCCTCTGGGAGGGGCGTAGTGAGATGGCCCAGGCTGGGCAGGGTCCCCAAGGGCTCTGAGTCTCAGGGAAGGGGCCACCCCTGAGCCTGTGGTTCTTAACTGCCTTAGGAACCTGAGGAATCTGATAAAAGCTCTGAGCCCTGCCCAGAACAGACATGGACCCATGAAACTTCACCTAGAGGTTGGGGAGGGGTTCATGGATCCCCTGAAGCGCATGTAGGGACCAGGGTTCCAGGTTAAGGTCATGTAATATGATGCAGTATTTCAAATGTGAGGCCTGAGACCGGCTGGTGACAATACAATCCACTTAAGCCCCGCCCCCCCCAGCTGGGACATTGTGTGTATAAAGGGTAGGTATTGTTTTATGAAACAATATGACTTCAAGTCCCATGTCATCCTTGCTACATAACAGTGGTCACTCCAGTTCCCTGAGAAGTGGGGATAACCCCACCTTGCCTTGCTCATCTGAGAAGTGGGGATAACCCCACCTTACCTTGCTAGGCGGTGCAGAGCAGATGAGATGGTGCGTGTCAAGCGTGGACCTGGTGCGCAATAGGTCTCCAAGGTGAGTGGATGGGGGAGGGGCGGCACAGAGAAAGCCATCCTCTGCCATGACCGGGCTGTGTCCTCCCTCCCCCAGGCCAATAGCCGACGGCTCACCCCCTTCGTCGGTCATGGACACCCCTGGCTATCCTTCACCAGTGCCCACGACCTTGCAGCCTGAGAACTCCTCCTTGACCTGGCCCCCAGATGCCACCCTGGGCAATGCGTCGGCAGACCCGAGCCCGGCAGGACTGGCTGTCAGCGGCGTTCTCATCCCGCTGGTCTACCTGGTGGTGTGCGTGGTGGGCCTGCTGGGCAACTCGCTGGTCATCTACGTGGTCCTGCGGCACACGGCCACCCCCTCAGTCACCAACGTCTACATCCTCAACCTGGCACTGGCCGATGAGCTCTTCATGCTGGGGCTGCCCTTCCTGGCCGCCCAGAACGCTCTGTCCTACTGGCCCTTCGGCTCCCTCATGTGCCGCCTGGTCATGGCCGTGGACGGCATCAACCAGTTCACCAGCATCTTCTGCCTCACCGTCATGAGCGTGGACCGCTACCTGGCCGTGGTGCACCCCACCCGCTCGGCCCGCTGGCGCACAGCGCCCGTGGCCCGCACGGTCAGCGCGGCTGTCTGGGTGGCCTCGGCTGTGGTGGTGCTGCCCGTAGTGGTCTTCTCGGGCGTGCCCCGCGGCATGAGCACCTGCCACATGCAGTGGCCCGAGCCGGCCGCGGCCTGGCGGGCCGGCTTCATCATCTACACGGCCGCGCTGGGCTTCTTTGGGCCGCTGCTGGTCATCTGCCTCTGCTACCTTCTCATCGTGGTGAAGGTGCGCTCGGCTGGGCGCCGGGTGTGGGCGCCCTCGTGCCAGCGGCGGCGGCGCTCCGAGCGCAGGGTCACACGCATGGTGGTGGCCGTGGTGGCGCTCTTCGTCCTCTGCTGGATGCCCTTCTACGTGCTCAACATCGTCAACGTGGTGTGCCCACTGCCCGAGGAGCCGGCCTTCTTCGGTCTCTACTTCCTGGTGGTGGCGCTGCCCTATGCCAACAGCTGCGCCAACCCCATCCTTTATGGCTTCCTCTCCTACCGCTTCAAGCAGGGCTTCCGCAGGGTCCTGCTGCGGCCCTCTCGCCGTGTGTGCAGCCAGGAGCCCGCCGCAGGGCCTCCGGAGAAGACCGAGGAGGAGGACGAGGAGGAGGATGGGGAGGAGAGCAGGGAGGAGGGGAAGGGGAAGGAGATGAACGGCCGGGTCAGCCAGATCGCGCCGTCTGGCACCGGTGGGCAGGAGCGGCCGCCCAGCAGAGTGGCCGGCAAGGAGCAGCTGTTCCTGCCCCAGGAGCCCTCCGCGGCAGAGAAGTCTGGCAAGCTGCACATCAGCTATCTGTAGAGGCCTGGGGAGGACCGGGGTGGCCCGAGGAAGGGGCAGAGGCCATAGTGTGCCTGAGGTGCCCGAGGCCCACAGTGGGATCCTCAGAGGCCCGGGCTCTGATTCCCTGCTGCAGGGACCGGCTGTGTGACCCTGGGTAGGTCACTTCCACCCTCTGGGCCTCCTCTTCTCCTCTGTGACTCAGGGATGGGCGTAAGGAGCCTGGATGAGCTCTGTCGGATGACAGATCTGGAGGGCAGTGCTGCTGGGCTGACCTGGCCAGTGGGGCCCAGGTTGAGGGGTGAGTACAGACTGCCCCCTGCTCAGAGACAGGGCGTCCTGGGGGGCCAGCCTGAATCTCCATCCTCAGGGGATAAACCAAGGTTCGAATTTCCTGGACTCAGAGTCAGGGACACAAGAGATGCTGGAGCCCCAAACAGACGGCAGTCTAACTTGGTGGGATAATGGGATAAAAACCGCTCAGGTCCCTGATCGGTGCCCCCACCCCCAGCTGGCTGTGAGGCCTTGGGCTGCCTCTGTTCCTCTCTAGGCCTCAGGCCCACCTGCTGGGTAACCCAATAACCTCTGGGCCTTTTGGCCTGGACAGTCAGTGCTGGAGGTCCTGTGCTCCCGGACGTGAGGGAAAGGGGTGAACTTTCTAGAAAGCCAAATCCAGCTTCAGGGTCCCTACTGCTTGGGCCCTTTCGAGGCCCTGTGTCGAATTTTGTACTTGTAATTTTGTATTCCTTTTCTTAGAGAGGGACCTCACATTGCATAAGCCTGGTTCTGCCCCTGTTGAGGTCCGCCACCCAATCCCTGAGGCGTCTCACGTTGGGTCCTGTGGCTGGAGGGGGCAGTGCAGGATCCCCAGGTCTTTGAGGGCTTCTAGGGCCTTCTCACTGGAGGCACCAGCTGTGTTCCTCTCCTGGCGACTTAGGTCCTTGCCCCCGAGAGCCAGGAGGGAACCAACCCACGAAGCCTGGCATGGGAAGGCGAGGGGAAGGAGGAGGAGTGTGAGAGGAGGGAGGAGGAAGAGGAGGAGGCAGAAAGAAGGGGGAAGAAGAAGGGGGAGAAGGACAGATCTGATTTCTGAAGCATCTCTGGCCCCTCCGGGCTGAGGTCAATGGCAGCATCTCTGAGCCAGAGTTGCCAGTGCCTGGCTCGACCAGTATCAAGGATCGGACGCCATCAGGGTGGGACAGCAAACGCACAGAGCCAGCCCCCTAAGGGACCCGAGCATGCTGGGAAAAGGGCTCAGGCCCTGATAGAGCTCTGGGTGAAGCCAGTTCCTGGGGACACTGGGAGAGGTGGTGAGCCCCTGGTGGGCAGGGGAGCAGGCCTCCCCATCCTCTATATTCCCGGGGGCACCGGGTCAGGGAGGCCCAGGGAAGACAAGACAAGAGGAGACTGGGGTGGGACCACACAGATGACCCCTCAGAGCCATGGCGAGGCTGGGTCCAGGAGGGTGGTTCCTCTGGCCAAATCCCTCCTCTTCCCCATCCCCTGCAGATGGCAGGGGGTCCTCAGGGAAAGTGCAGGAACCAGAATCTTGGAGACCTGCATCTTCAAGTCACCTCAGGATCCTCAGCTGGCCTTGACCTCTCTGGGCCTCAGCTTCCCCATAAAGTGGAGATGAATCCCAGTTTGTCTGCACCTGGAATTTGGGGAGAAAAAATGAGTCCTGCTGGGTAAAGTGCCAGGCTCACCGTAGTGGGTGGATGGGCTGTATCAGATTTTAAAGAACAGGAACCCTTCCTTCCAGGTTTGGCTTACAGCCACTGCACCTCTATCGTGTGACCGCTCTGTGTCCAGTTTCTGGGGGAAGGACACTGCAGGTCATGAGAAATGGGGAGTTGGGATCAGGAAGGCAGGATTGGAGAGTGTGTGGAACCCTCAGAGGAGAAGGAAGTTCACAAGACCAGATCTTGTGTGGAGACTGGAGGCCGGAGGCCCAGCCCTGGGACTTGGTCTGGGTTTCCCCTGTGGAGGATCTGAGGGTCTGAGGGAGAAGGGACCCCCCCCAGCATCCCTGCCTTCCTGATGCCTGGTGTGGGAGAACAATGTCCTGCGAGGGAGCTGGGAGGCTGGTTAGGAAAACCTTTGCTGCTTCTGCCCCTAGCTCTTGTCAATAAAAATGGTGACATATGACAACAGTCATGGCCAATTCCTCTGCAGATGGGTGTGAATGTGCGGATGTGCAGGGACTCTGTGCATCCTGATCTCCAGAGTCCAGGCCTTTCCGGGGACATGGACGATACCCTTGACAGGCCTGAACCCATCTTTACAGATCTTGATCCAGAAGCAGTCAACAGCCCTTCTCCCTATTATACAAATAGCAAATCTCACGGAAGAAAGCTGATTGGCTCCAACTGGGTCACATGATGGTCTTTGGGCCAATCCCCAAAGACAAGGTGATGGCAGTGTGCCGATTGGCAGGTGTGGGTCCTACCTACACTTCAAGCCAGAGAGAAGGTAGGGCAGTGAGATAGACTGTCTGGCCTGTCCCAGTGGGGTAGGGTGTGTCAGGGATGGTCTGGCAGTGGCAAGGGGAGGTGGGCCAGGCAGCAGCAGGCTGGGTGTGTGCAGGGATCCCTGTGTGTGGCTGCCTTTGCAGGATGTGACTGTGTGTGTGAAGGCTTGTGTGAGCACAGTGCAGGGCACATCATAGGTGCTCAGGACACCACAGCCACATCTCTGAGTGCACTGGGGTGTGACTTGTGGCCAGCATGCTTGGGGTGGGAGCAGAGGAACTGCTGGGGCCGAGCCTTGTGTGGGATGGTCACCTGGCCCGGTCCCTCCTCTGGCATCCACAGCCCCACTCACCACACTGGGTGTCACTGCCTGTGCATGCTCACGTGTGCACGTGTGTGGGTATCCTTGTTCCCACACATGTGCGTCTGATAGCCTTGTCTCTCCTAGGGCAGAGCTGTGCCTGATGTGTGTGTTCCAGCTGGGCCTGGTGGGGTTGCCGGGCGCTTCCTGCGAGTATCTGGAATGAATGAACCCAGGGGGCTGTTGCATTTCACAACTCCAGGGATACCGCCCACGTGGGGATTCTAGCCTCCTTGGCAATTGTGTAATGTGGTGGTCCTGGATAAATGAGTGGGGTCTGAGGAGCTTGCATTAGGGGTTGGGGCAGGAATCTGGGGGTGAAGGGAGGCTCAGGGGCTGCGAGCTTGAGCAGGGAGGGAGGGAGGTGATAACTACTTTGCATGACTCCTCTTCTCCAGCCGAGAAGTTGCTTAGATCCAAAGCCTTCCCTTGAACTTTTCTCTCAGAGGTGGTTGCCAGGCAACAGCCTATGGCCACCAGGTTCCGGACCAGGACTTTGTGTGTCAGCATCGACATTACCCGAAAGAGTTCAGGAATCTGCTGAGCCTGGGGCAGGAAAGGCCAGGGTTCAGATCTTTGAGATTCTCTTTGCCTGGAAGGGGTGAGGTAGATGGAGGCCTGTACCATGGCAGGTGGCAGCCTGAGCTCCACAGGACTCCATTGAGAACCCCAGGCTGTAATGTGAGGGGCACCCCCCTGCAGCCGTGCAAGGCCACCATCCTGCCAAGGCCTCAATGTACTCCCTGTCACTAGAGGCCCTGGTGAGAACCTCAGTGAGTCCGCCGGAACATCAAGGGGGAGACAAGCATCCCTTGAGAATCATGGGACCAGCTGGGTGCGGTGGCTCATGCTTGTAATCCCAGCACTTTAGGAGGCTGAGGAAGGAGGATCACTTGAGCCCAGGAGTTTGAGACCAGCCTGGGTGGCATAGTGAGACCTGTCTCTACAAGAACTAAAAAAAAATTAGCCAGGAGTGGTGGCACGTGCCTGTAGTCCCAGGGAGAATTGCCTGAGCCCAGGAGGCTGAGGTTTCAGTGAGCCGTGATCTGGCCACTGCCCTCCAGCTTGGATGACAGAGTGAGACTCCGACTCAAAAAAAAAAAAAAGTAATGGGATCCAAAGTCAGGAGGCCTGGGCCCAAGGCTTCCAGCCACAAATCTGCTGTGTGACCATGGGCCATTTAGTTCACTTCTCTGGACACAGTTACACAGTTTATTTAGTTAGCAGAGGGTTTTCAGAGCACCAGCTGTATGCATGGCCCTGACACTGGGCTGGGACATGGAGGAGGCAGACAGACATAGTCCCCGTGCCCAGGCACTCCCAAGCAATCACACAAGGAACATGTCATTACTTTGGGGCTCAATCGGGAGGGAGATATATCATGTGCTCTGGGACTTGAGGGTCTCTGGGGGCTGCACTGAGAGCCCAGGTTTGAGCCTCAGGGTGCCAGGCAGAGGGACCTGCATGTGTCAAGGCCCTGAAGCTGGAGGAGGGCAGTGAATACAAGGAGGAAAGGCAGTGCCAAGGCCCCGTGCAGGGCAGGGACTGTGTCAGGCAGGGCCTGCTAGGACACCCATTTCTGCTATGGGCTGAATTTTGTCCCCACTCCAAATTTGCAAGTCGAACTCCTAACCCCCAGCACCTCAGAATGTGACCTTATTTGGAAACAGGGGCGTTGCAATGTGGGTAGTTAAGATCACACTGGAGTAGAGAGGGTCCTTCGTCCAGTGCAGCTGGTGTCCTCAAGGAAAGGGGGGATTCGTACATAGGTGGGCACACGGGGAGACGCCGTGTGACATGAAGATCGCATTGATGCTTCTAGATGCCAAGGAACGCCAGAAATTGCCAGCACTCAGGTGTGGGTCCTACCTACACTTCAAGCCAGAGAGAAGGTAGGGCAGTGAGATAGACAGTCTGGCCTGGCCAGTGGGGTAGGGTATGTCGGGGACGGTCTGGCAGTGGCAAGGGAAGGTGGGCCAGGCAACAGCAGGCTGCGTGTGTGCAGGGATCCCTGCGTGTTGCTGCCTTTGCAGGATGTGACCATGTGTGTGAAGGCTTGTGCGTCTGATAGCCTGGTCTCTCCCAGGGCAGAGCTGTGTCTGATGTCTGGGACAGACCCTCCCTCCCAGCCCTAAGAGGGGGCAGCCCTGTGACACCCTGATTTTGGACCTCCAACCTCAACGGAGAGACAAGGAATTCTGTTGCTTAAGGCACCCAGGGGGTGGCGTCTTTTCAGGGCAGTCGTAGCAAACTCACAAATTTCCCCCCTGCACAGCAGAGGCGAGGGCCTCTCCTCTCTTGGGCGTCGGGGACCTGGACGGGCTCACCCGTTCATTCCTTCACTCCACATGTGTCTACTTCTCTTCTGCCAACTGCAGAAAGTCAAGGCCAAGAGTACAGCACCAGACCTGTCTTCTGTGGGGGCAGTTCTTAAGCACATGGACACGGGGTCTGCCTGGGTCGAAGTCCCGGTTCATGGTTCATGAGCCTGCTAATGAAGTTCTCTGTGCCTTGGTTTCCTCCTCTCTGAGATAAGAAGGAGCACAACTGTCCCTGTTGTTAGGAGGTTTAAATGAGTTAATATTTGTAGCAGCCTGGAACACCGCTGGGTGCACCAGAGGCTCTGTGTGAGTGTGACGTGAGCAAGTGTCCATCTGCGGGCACAAGAGTCCAGTGGAGTACAAGGGGGAACCCAGAGATGCTGCAGGTGAGGTGACAACAGCTCTGGTCTTTCACAGCTGGAGACAGTGGGGCCTGAGATGTGACTTGCCCTGGGCTCCAGCACCAGGAGCAAGACCCCAAATGCTCCTTTCCCATCCCCCAGACCAATGTCCAGAGTTCCTAAAAATGGTGAAAATGGGGC